TCCATTAACAAACCGCTCAAGTCCTGCCACATCCCTTAAGCCTCATTTTTATGCTGTTTCCAAGCAATTCAGATTTTCACCACTTCTATAAAAACATGGATGGGATGGGATCTATGGAATAGAATGCGATGGAGAACCCCATGGCTGGGGGAGCAATTTTTCAGTCAGGCCCCTCCTGCAGCCATCCCAGAACTCGGCTCTGAGCGCGGTTTTGGGTCCCTGCGTGTGACACCTCCCCGTCGAGGGATCTGGGATTGGTGCTGCTGGAGCACACGGGCCCATGGGCAGAGCAGGGTGGGGTCAGAGGGTCTGGGGGCTGCTGCCAGCTCGGCCACTGCCCACAGAGTGACCCCACAGTGACCTCCCCCAGCTCTGGGCCTGCAGCAGGGCCAGGGCGTCCCCTGAGCTCGGGGACAGAAATCCAGCCCAGAACACGGAAGGAATCCCATGTGGGGTGAGGGCTGCTCCAAATTCCCCCTCTGSATGGACAGACCAAACTGGCTGCTGGGCATGGCTGGGCCAAAGCGGTGCCCCTGCAGCTTCTGAACCCCTAAACCCAGTCTGGGCACTAAAAACGATTGCCAYGAGTGAATCAGGACTTCCTGCCACCACGTGGGTCTGTCCTTGACTCTTTGGTTCACTGCCAATGGGGACAGCAGGGCCAGGGCCTGTCCCTGCCTGCTCTGACCGAGGCAGGGACAGGGGTGCCGTGCCTGGCAACGATGTCCCCCTTTGCTAAAGGCCATAAAGGCCCCTGCTCTAAATCCCAAATAATGTTCCTTGTGCCATATGCAGAGAAATCCTAAATCACTGAATGGTTCTGTTTGGAAAAGCYCTCTGAGATCATCGAGTCCAACCATTCCCCCAGCCCTGCCGAGGCCACCACTGCCTCATGTCCCCAAGTGCCACATCCACAGGGCTTTAAATCCTTCCCTCCAGGGGCTGGGATGGAGCTGAGGCCGAGTTTGATGCACCAGTTCCAGCCAGGATCCCTTGGGACCAGACAAGAACCCCAGGAGATGGCCAGGAGAGGGGATGAGCAGAGCAAACACCTGCAGCAGATCCATCCCCATGAGCCACCGAGCGATTCAGGGACTTGGCCTTTGGGAATTCTCTCCTGTGGCCTCACCCACACTGCAAATTTCCGGCATTTTTGGTATAATTTAGAGTGATTTAGACTCATTGACACTGACTCTGCTGCTTCTSTGGATGTTCCAAACACCCTGGGGTGTGCTGGGATCTCATTCCCTGTGCTTGGCTCACACACCTCACATCCTGCCTTGGCTGAGCCACAGCCTGAATCCTTGGCGCAGGTTTTAATCCAGTTTTTGCTCCAATTTTTACTCCAGTTTTTAC